AGTGGCAGGTGGTCCTGTTGATTTCTTATCAAGATGGCCTTTTGGACAGCAATGGAAATCCAGTAACTGAAGTAAGAAAGGTGTCCCAGATTGGTCACATTTTTGGCCAGATTTCTCCAAATTCTGAAAACATGTAGAAATGAAAATAGCTATTGAGCACTGCCTTTGTAAGAGAACGAGACATCTAGTTATCTGCAAAAAAATGTTACAGTGCTTATGAGCATGGCTTCCACATGATGAAATCTCACATTTCTGTAATAAACACCTAAGCCCCCAATTCACTAAAACCTATTAATGATTTTAGAATGCTTACTTATTTCAAAATTTTCATATTAACTTTTATATATTGTAACCAATTTCATCTATTGCCTCTATTCTATCATGGGAGAGACTACAGTGCAATACTGTAGGTTGAAAGAGACAACTTGTCACTTCAGGTAAATCCAATCTTATTACCGCCATTTCTAAAGTTTGTAAAAAAGATGATAACTCCACCAATACTATAGCCTTTGCTTTTTATGCTGTTTAATTCTGCTATGCAGCTTTCATTTTCTAACAATGACAATCCACTGATCAAAACTCAGTATAAGAGGGAGGAAATGGGAGTGGGGGAGGACTGACAGGAACAAGAGAGGAGTCATTTTATAATTTATCACGATAAATATTGCCATCAGGTTTTATAAAAAATAAAGCCATGTTTAACAGCACTAACAAAGCACTTAAGATGTTTTAACTATGGCACTTAAGATGTTTTAATTACTTCTAAGGGAAGTAATTAACAGATAAAAATGTTCTCTTACATAAAATTTTATTAATTTTAATTTTTTCTTGGCATGATACTGATTCTCTCAAAATTACTTAGCAATTCCAAAGGTCAAAAAGGCTTCCTTAGGACAGACTTGTTCTGTTCCTAATGACTGTTCTGGAACCATAGTCAATGAAATCATCACGAACACAATAGTGTTTGCTCTGGGACAGGCTTTCTGATTTCTCATTCCAAGAAAAGAAAGGCTAAAAAACCAAACCAAGAAATATTTCTCCCAAACAAACTGTACTGTTTGAATGATCCTCTTCATCACTGTGCTAAAATGCTTGCTGGAGTTATTTTTAACTGGGAACAGAACATTCATTTTGGAAAAAGTTCAGTTCCCTAATTTTGTAATGAGCAGAAATACATACTTTCAATGAAAGACTATGCAAACTGCAGTAACCCCGTCAGCAGAAAAGAAATTGTGTGGTTTTTAGGAATGAAAGTCTTCTAGGTGCTGTGAAGCCTTGAGTCTGGATCACCTGCATCAACGCTGGAAGCAACAGGGCACTTAACATCACCTAGACACGGAGCTTGTTGCTTTGCTCATGCCCAACATTTCTTCATAAATAATGAGCCTCAGGGATGCCAAGTGGATTCTATTGTTTTTATTGATTGTTATTACTGTTATTAAACAATGTTAGTCATGTATGATGATTAAAAACAACTAATATTCTTGGAATATGTACATTCTATTAACTGATATAACTCGATCCGGTCTTTCATTACAACAATGAATTTTCAGGTTGCACAAAGACACAAGTAATTTATATTCCAACACAACAATCACTCCTGGGTTACTAATTTCACAGTTTCCTATTTATATGGCTGCATGTACTTATAGAGTTTTAGCACAAAGCCAATACAAATATGAGAGTATCCTCATTCTAATGGTTACTGTGCCGCTAGAGATGGGTGTCAGCAATGGGTATCCTCCTGAGTTCTACGATCTGGGAGTCAGTCAAGGTGCCTCCCTCCTGGCTGCCTTGACCAGATTCATTATCACTGACACTGAGACCAGCACCTACAATAGAAAAAGAATAAACACAAAAATTCCCAACTGTTAGTGCAGTGAATTAGGGTCAAGTTACATTAAGTCAACATGTTTAGTTATGTTATACTGGAGGCTCGGTGCACAAAATTCATGCATGGGGGGTGTGGGGGATAGGGTCCCTCAGCCCGGCCTGCACCCTCTCGCAATCCAGGACCCCTTGGGGGATGTCCGACTGCCTAAACTGGCAGTCGGACATCCCTCTCACAATCTGGGATTGCTGACTCCTAACCACTTGCCTGCCTGCCTGATTGCCCCTAACCACTCTGCCTGCCTGCTTGATCACTCCTAACCACTCGCTGTCCTGCTTGGTCACCCCTAACTGCTTGCTTGCCTGCTTGATTGTCCCTAACTGCTCACCTGCCTGCCTGATTGTCCCTAACTGCCTCTACCTCAGCCCCCACCACAGCGGCTTCATCCAGATGTCTGGAAGGCCATTTGGCTATCTGGTCTAATTAGCATATTACACTTTTTATTATTATAGATTATTAAAGAGTGAACTGTATACTTAGAATAAATATTTTTTAATAACTGACAACTATAAAAATATACTTTAAATTCCTTTTGGTAGTTTTATAAGTAAAATTAATTTCTAAAGGCACAAGTCGGGGTTTTCAATGATTGACAGGTATAACTTACTCTCAAGAACAGCCTTTCTCAACTTTCTGGGGATTATTAAAATAAAAAAACTCAGGCAGGTTATAAGAATTTTTCAGCAGGGGTGGGGGTAGGGTTTGCTGTTCAAAACCACATGACCTCCAACCCCACAGGCACTGGAAAGTACGAGGCCCTTCAGCTGGGACTCAGTCAGGGTGGGCAGCGATCCAAGAAGAAAGACGTGCACTGACAACACCTGGTGCCTTATCAGCGCCCAGAAGACTCGGACTCCAAATGACTCAGATCTGATCCCGAGATAAAAATAATTATGCAACACAGTGCCAAAACAGATCTGCACAAGAGTCTCCAAAAGCTAGCTGTTAATTACAATAGTACCCAGAATCTGTTTTGAGGGAACTCCAGTATTCACTATTTTTTCACAACTTAGAATAATTCAGGAAATTTAACACGATACTAGAGTAACACCTCTTTCTTCTCTAATTCACAAACTTTCTTCTCTAATTCAAAACTTCTCTCTCTCTCTCTCTCTCTCTCTCTCTCTCTCTCTCTCTCTCTCAAACACACACACACACACACACACACACACACACACACACACACACACCCTACACATACACACACAGAGAATGGGGATGTGGTCACAGGGCATGCTGCTGGTTGAATTTGTTGGGCACTAGACTCTAAACGAGAAGGAAAGTGAAAAAGCAGCTGCTGGGAGCTGAGACTTCCTTCTGTCTGAGCTGTAGGAAAGGCTAATCTGAAGATCTGGCAGCTATGGGAAGATGGGGTATTAGCTTCGTCTTACCCTATTTGGGATAGAAGCAGGAGCCCATTAAGGTCCTTCTTCTAGTCAAACCCTCCCTCTCCTGGGTCTCTGTCCTTCCCATCCTCCCTCTGCTGAAGGCTGCTGTTGACACCCACTTCCTTCCTTTGCTTCTGTGGCACTGTACTTGCCCACCCCACCCTCTGATCTCCGGAGGTCTGCTTTCTCTTGCACCTCCTTCTGCTGTCTGATCCCCAGAGTGCTTATCTGCAGCCCTGCTTCAAGGCCTACAAGGTCCACCTGAGCCCCTGCCTGCTCTCTAGCCTGGTATCTCACTAGAGCTACTGGTCACCTCCTTTTCACACCATGTTATTATGCTGGCACTGCCTGGGATTCTCTCATCCCCCAACTCCTAATCTGTCAGCCTCAGCTCTTCCTGTAACTATCCACTCAGGAATCACCTCTGCTAACCATGGAAACATGATGATTCTCTTTCAAAATTTCTGACTCCCCCATTGGATTATGTACTCTCATATCTTTATATTCCTAGCTCATAGGACAGTGCCCAGCACACCGTGGGTGTGCATCAAATGTTTGCTGTATGTATTAATAAACTATGCTCTGCATCCTCGCTCTTAAAAATGCTTCTTCCATCTCTTTTGTCCACCCTGTTCCTCTGATGTATTCAGCATCCCACTGCCCTTTTCTTCTCAAGAACAAACATTAGTCCCGATGGCCAACAGCATGAAGTCTGACACCCTCTGTATTGGCAGTAAGATCTCTCCTAACCTGGCTCTAGCCTGCTGAGTAGACATATCTCAACCTTTGCCCACGGGAAAGCTTTTCCAAAGTGATCCTGGATGTGCCATGTTCATTCCAGCCTGGGTGTCTTCCTGCCCATTCATCAAGACCCATGTCCATACCCTTTCACAAATACTAGTACTTCTTTCGCAACTCCTTCAAAACAGGGAGTTGGAGAATGCAACTGAAAAGTCCTAGTTTATACCTGAAAAATTATTAGTTGCTTCCCCTTTATTCTCTCAAATTGCTCTGGTTTGGAGATAAGTTATTAGTATATGTTAGCTCTACATATAATATGTAAGCCATAAAATCAAATGTGTAACAATGAAAAAAGGAATGATGTAAATTTTCCACTTGTAAAAGAAAAGGCTGCTCACATATTTTTAAAATGAAATGAATCAAATTGCTATGGAATTTAAAGTCTCTAAGTTAGTTTAATAAAATAATGTAAAATTTTTATTTTAAAACTGAAATTTATAATACAGTGGAAATTACATTATTTGGCACTATTTACACTTAGGATGAAAATCTTTAGCTGTTTATTGAAATATAGGCAAAGGGTTACATAACTTTTCAGTCACTTAGGGGTTCAAATGCAAAATAATTAGAAGACTCACTTGACTTGGAGAGACCCATAGTTAAGGTGGACCTGAGACGGATTAAGATTTGCAAATTAAAATGTCACAGAGGACAGGGAAGCCAGTATAAATCAGTAACACCGGTCTGGTGAGCACTGGATAAACCAAAGAGCTGGAGTTCCATCTAAAGAGGCAATTATTACTCAACTCCAATCACTTTGCTGCTAGATTTCTTTGTGTGTGTGTGTGTGTGTGTGTGTGTGTGTGTGTGTGTGTGTATGAATCTTCACCTGAGGATACTTTTTCTATTGATTTCTAGAGAGAGTGAAAGGAAGGGAGGGAGGGGAAAAGAGAGAGAGACACACAGAGAGAGGGAGAGAAACCTCGATGTAAGAAAGGCATATCGATTGGTTGCCTCCTGCATGCACCCCGACTGGGGCCTGGTATCAAAACTGCAATGTAGGCACCTGCCCTTGACTGGGAATTGAACTGGTGCTATGATCCTTTAGTGTGCAGGCCAACACTCTAACCCAGGGGTCCTCAAACTATAGCCCGCAGGCCAGATGCAAATACAAATATTGTATTTGTTCCCATTTTGTTTTTTTTTACTTCAAAATAAGATATGTGCAGTGTGCATAGGAATTTGTTCATAGTTTTTTTAAAACTATAGTCCGGCCCTGCAACGGTCTGAGGGACAGTGAACTGGCCCCCTGTTTAAAAAGTCTGAGGACCCCCCTGCTCTAACCACTGTACTACACAGTCAGGGTTAGACTTTTAAAAAAAGACATTCTGGATTTTTATGGGATTTAAAAATGCTAAAACAATGCTAAAATGCTAGAGGATCAAACAAAATACCCTGCTGGGCCAAATCTGGCCTGTGTGTCAATTGTAAATTCTGCTGTAGATAGAACGGCATGTGGACTGTTCCTCTCATTTGACCACATTCTACGATGGAAAGTGTCTTAGGGGGTGGTGCTGGATTTTTATAGTAACTTTTCTAAAAGTAGAGGGAGCCAATGTGAGAGATTATTATTTTGGTCTTTTGAAGTATTTATTTCCTAACAAGTGTAGCAAACTCTCAGGAATAGTAAACTCTATAAGTAAGGAAGTCATTCCATACATTCCCGAGCTAAATGCATTTAATACTTGTTATATATATAGGAACCACATCTAATTGAATTATGCTCCAAGAATTCATTTTATGTTCCCAGTGTTATAACATCAACAACTGACCACTGTGTAGTACTGGGAATTATTTGTAATCTGAAAGCCTCCTTTTTAGTCCTAATACCAATTAGCATTTTATATATTTGTGCATCCCCTCCTTCATGAAACTCAATCTTCTCTCTCTAGATCTTTTTCACCATGCTATACAGTTCCTTCTCTGGGACCCTCTTCTATTCACTCTTTAAATGTAGATATTATCTAGGATGTTCTTCTTGTTTCCCTTCCTCCCTTCCTTCTTCACCTTTTTTCTTCTCATCTCTCCCCTTCCTCTCCTCCTGATCAGTCTTATTAATCCCCTTAGCTTCAAATATAATCTCTGCCCAGATGCATTTCAGATCAATACCTTTGACCATGAACCCTCACCCAGGAGCCTCTAAACCTGAATATTTAAGACAACCAGGCCTAATAATCAATGTGTCCGAATCAGAACTCATCAGTGTCCCGCTTCACACAGATAAATGAGCAGATGCTCCTTATATAATCCCTCAGTGACCTTGTGTGCAGCAGGTCTTCGCTGCTGTCCTCTCAGTGTCCCCTCAGCCTTCCTCCTCTGTTCATCTTCTCTTTTATTTCCACTCTTCAAATCTGAGCCCCGGACCTCATTCTTTTGGACAATTGTAACAACCTCCCAACCTTTTTGATTTTGCTTCTAAATTTATTCTTTATCTTTCCTGAGTTATTTTTGCCTCAAAAACCAGCAGGAACATGCCATTCCTCTCCTCACAAACATCCATGGCTCACTAAGTCCTTTAAAGAAAGGGGGTTGGAGTCATATGTAATACTTTCAACAATAAAGATTTTTTAAAAATCCCCCTCGTTAGCATGGCATCTGACCAGCATTTTAATATTATGCAAAATACCAGGAAGTGTTCTGCTTCCCCAAATGAATATATCACTACATGTGCTCTGGAAACACCAGGTTAAATTGAGTGAAGTAGGTTATCTTTGAGTGAGGGCTTTTTCAGAGCTGCTAAAATGGTAATATGAATTGTCAATCTTCTCAGTTTCCCAAATATACTCAGTCAGGTGATCCTCTCACTGAGGATGACTGTGAACATCTCAAGGAGGGTGTTACCTGAAACCCAGAAGGGGGAACTACAGTACATTTTTAACAACGCGGGTCAACTACCTCTCCGGCCTTCCTCCCACTGCCTGGCTCTGCTCCTCCTACATCCCGGCCACTCTGCAATGCTTGTTCTCCTCAAGCAGGGCATGCACGTGTACGCCCTAGGCTTTGTCTAATTCTGTTCCCCATCTGTATTGCCTTTCCTCCACTCTTATTTCAAACCTACACATTCTTCAAGAATCAATTAAGAGAGGTTTAAAAAAATTTCCTCGATTCCCTCAATAATTAATAACTCTTTCCACTACTTATATTACTCTTTCTTATGTCATGACTATGTGAATGTCTATTCCTCCAAACAAACTCCAAGCTTCATATTCATTCACTCACTCATTCACTCATTCATTCTCCAACAATATCTACAAAAGGCTTACTAAGAGCCAAACATTATTCTGAATATATGGATGCTTATATATAGTAAAATGCACTTTTGAATTATTATTTAAATAGTTTCATCTGAGTATGAACTATTATTGAAAAAACCTCCTCTTTTTATCTTTTTGCATCTAGAAATCAAAATTTCACTGAAATTTTTTAAGTGTCAGTTCAACATTTTTCTGAATAAAAAGATGAAAGAAAAAAAAAACCCTTTACATTTTATTTGAAAACAACTTTCCATTGGGTTACAGGTTGGGTGGGGTTGAATTTATAGGAAGAGGCAATAAAATACTGTATGTAACAGCACTTTAAAAACTGTGCTGCCTTTGAAAGTTTTGCTTTAGAGCTACTCCTAAGAAGGTCTCTTTGGCAGATCAGAGGCAAATCTCTCAGTGAAATCCCTAGCAGATGGTCTTACGACACTGAACTTGTCTCAATAGTACCTTGGTGTTCTAGAATGATTCCAGGACAGAGATACTTACATCTAGTGAGAGCATGCCTTTTTCTTAAAAGCAAATTGTAAATGATTTTGAGGTTATGTTACGTTTGGTGTCAAGAACAAAATAACTCAGAGTGAGGCTGAGGTGAGGAATGGGTCATGAGAATCAGGCTGTGCTAAGGGTGCCTGGCTATACTGATGCAACTTCATGTGAAGAAGATATAAATTGCGGCACAGCCAGAGTGTCTACTTCGAATGTAGTTTGTGGGCTCACACATACCAGTTTTCAATGCAAATATCAAGTCATCAAACTCCTGGGACTCCTCATCAGCTATCAGTGAGCCCTGGCCATAAGCTCCGGAGGAAGGGAAGGTGGCGCCATTGTGTGGACTTGGCTTTAAGTCGGGACTGGCCTGGCTGGCTTGTTGGAAGGATCCCCTCTCCCAGTCAGGTGGCACCTGTGAGGGTCAGGGAGGGAAGGAAACCACAATATGAACACGTACACCTTTACTCTGAATGTATGTACACTATTTACCTCTGCGTCTCATTACACAAACCAGGTGAAAGGGCTTCTCAACTGCTTTGAATTGAGGCCTTTAATTGTACCATTGCTTTTTAGAGAAGTATGTTTCTCCATGAGACAATCTAATCTGGTGATGCTAAACGATTTCTCTATTAGAATTACTTGTAGATTTCTATGCAGTCATGTGTGGGGCAAGAAAAGTATCTTTGAACCCATCAATACTTTTTATTTAAAAAAAATGTATTGTGCAAAGAAAATTGTTAAAAATGTAAGAACTGGAGAGGAACCCTCCTAATGCTTAATCTAAGATACAAATACAATTTTAAATATAGCAGCTATCTGTAAGGACATACTGAATTGAAGGAAAAAAAAGTTCTTTGATAGTATTCTAAACTCCTCCTTTTAAAAAATTAAGCAATTGCCCTAGCTGGTTTGGCTCAGTGGCTAGGACGTGGGCCTGCAGACTGAAGGGTCCCAGGTTTGGTTCTGGTCAAGGGCATGTGCCTTGGTTGCGGACACATCCTCATTGGGGGGTGCGCAGGAGGCAGCTGATGGATGTTTCTAACTCTCTATCCCTCTCCTTTTCTCTCTGTAAAAAATCAATCAACTATATAAAAAAAAAATAAATAAACAATTAAAAAGGTAGTTCTATCCTGAGCCCAGCCAGTGTGGCTCAGTTGTTGAGCATCAACCTATGAACTAAGAGGTTTGATCTGCTGACAGGGCACATGGCTGGGTTGTGGGCTTGATCCCCAGTAGGGGGCGTGCAGGAGGCAGCAGATCCATGTTTCTCTCTCATCGATGTTTCTATCTCTCTATCCCTCTCACTTCCTCTCTCTCTCTCTAAAGATCAACAAAAACATATTTTAAAAATAAAAATTAAATAAAGTGAATCAGAGACTGTTGAGTGGCTAGATATAAGATTAATAGAAAAAGAAAAAAAATCCATATTAAAAAAGTAAAGATAGTTCTATCCTGAAATAATTAAACATACTCACTTCCCTTGTGGTTACTGGTAAAACCCCCTTAATCCTTCCTTTCCTCATGCTGTCCCTTCTCTGGAAGGCTTTCTAGAATGTCTCTGACAGGCCCTTGTTGACAGCTGGACCAAGGCCAATCCTAAGCCTCTGAGGAATGTAGAGCACACGTTAGGGTATGCCACTGTGCAAACCCAGAATGAACACTCGAGCAGTGGCTCAGGCCCAGGAACTGAACTGTCACAGCTGCTGTCTCCCAATGTAAGCTTTTCTGAGCCACTGCAGGGATGTCGCATGGCCTGAGGACTGTAGAAACAAATTTGAGAGAAGACAAAAATCTTCAAAAATTCTGTTAAGAAGTTGAACATCTAGATCAGCTAGATGTGAACGGTTCAACAGACCTTTCTGTGATGATTCAAATGTTTGCTATCTGCATTCTTCACCATGGTAGCTCTCAGAGCACTTGAACATAGTGACAGATGAACTAAATTTTTAATATTATTTTGTTTTAGTTTAAATTTAAATAGCCACACAGGCTAATGGTTATTGCACTGTACAGTTCAAATCGAGCATGGGTAATCAATAAAAAAGACAAAAACCTTTTTTAAAATTCATTCCTGAATTACTGATCCTAAAAATATCCATTCCCATTGTTATCAACTTTGATGTGAAAATAATTCAGTTTTTAAAACTTTTGAGATATAGATATGGTACTAGATTTCTAAACATTTATGGTACTAAAGACATATTCCAATTTTTAAATACTGTACTTGATTTTTGAACATTTTAAATACTGTATCTTAATTTTAACCTGGCATGGGTAAAATTACTTTCTATATTTACATGGAAGAGGAAAAAATATCACTGAATAGGTAGATTATCTATCTACTAGAGGCCTAATTCATGAAATTCATGCAAGAGTAGGCCTTCCTTCCCCCGCTGCCAGCACTGGCTTCCCTCTGGCACCCAGGATCCGGGCTTCCCTCGCAGCCCCGGCTTTGTCCGGAAGGTCATCCAGTCTAATTAGCATATTACACTTTTATTATTATAGATCATCTCTCTCTCTATCTATCTATCATCTATCATCTATCTTCTATCTTTCTAGCTACCTACATATCTATCAACTGTTTCCTTTTCAGATACATGCATGTTGATTTCCTACCATTTTTTCAGGATGCAAATAAACACAAGTACTGTTCTCTTTGGCTCTTTAATACAGACAGGGCCGCGTGAGCTATGTAAGGAATGGGAGACAAGCACATCTGGGCAATGCAGAAATTCTTAGGGACTGCATACCATCTCTTTCTGGACAAATGTCTTTAGGTATAATTTAAAGCCTGAGCAGTGGTCCCAGGGCTATGGCAGCATTGCTAACAGGTTGGTGATTTAGACACAGGAAACCAATGTGATGTGGACATAATGCAGAGAGGAATGGGAAGTAGACTTTACAGAGGACATCCTGGATCGACTTTCTAAGTAGTGCTGCTGAAGCACTCTTCCGAACCTTTGCTCTAAAATATTTTCTGGTATTTAAATTAAAAACAGTTTCAGCCTATTTTCACTTTGTGTTTGATGGGACTGAAGTAGTGAATTGGGATGGGTGAAGGAAGAGAGCTGTGTAAATATTTTGAGGGAAAATAGTTAAAACAAAAAAACACACCCACACTTCTGAAGCTGGTTTAGACATCACCGTGTCAAATTTGGGAGAGTTTGAAGAAAAAGATGACAAAATGTGCAGTGTCTGAGTTCCGAGAACAAACTGCTGGTTAGTATAGGTTGCAGGGCAGGGAAGAAAATTAACTCAATAACATGCATAATACTACAGTTGGTCAGCATGTAGGAAAGGGATTTAAAAGTTACATAACACCATTTAACATGTGCACTTTTTGAGATGGAAAGGCCGTATATGGGAAAGAAACAGAGAGACAGAGGTCAAGTCAAGGTCAAGGGCAGGACCTCCTCCATAGCACTGATTAGATTCTGGGTGGACTTGCTGATTTCCCCTCCAGAAGGAGGCATTCCACTCCCGGGTGTAAAGAAGGCTGTGCTGGGTCCTGGGTGTCCGTTCACTTCCACTGTGTAGCTGGCCTTCATGGGGCAACAAGTCTGGTTGTGAAGAATGAAATAGACCACAAAAACGTAAAGTCCCTGCAAAAGAAAAGAAAACGAGCATGTTAAAAGAAGTCCTGCTACCACAGCTGAAGAATAAACATGGTTGTAAGCATAGCGATTTTCTACAAATGTTTTCCAAGCTCTACCCAGAGCTGGGATTACAGAACAATGTTAGAGGTCTAGCAAGAGGCCACTGTAAATTTCTGAATGTCATAAAAAATGTTATTTCATGTCATTTGGGAAAACTGCTCCCTCACCAAAATATCATGTTTTTTCTTAGTTAAAACATGAGTAACTCTGAAGTACACAAAACAGAATTGCAGAAGTACATCTGATTAGCTATGTACATTTTGCTTCAGAAAGCAAACCTCTTATCTTCCAAAAAATTACTATCTTTTCCCAGATTTCACTTATTTTCATTTTTTTTTTCCTCTTAGCAAAGTGGTTGAAGTGAGCTCCCACCACCTTGTAGGCTTCTGTAAGGGCAGCACTAATGAAGCCTTCTCATTTTGTCTATATATCTCACCTACTTATCTCATTTGGAAACAGAATCACTGGGTAGGGACTCAGAGGAATTCTGTGGATTACTTCATATTTAGCATGCCTTGCTTCTCAGTAAATCCTATATAATAAAGAGCTAATATGCAAATGGTCATCATGCCCTCATGCTGTCAAGCCATAAAGGCTCAGACATTTAACACTGGGGAGAGAGAAATGGGGACCAGCCAGGCACAAATGAGCTCACGAGAGAGAGGAATGGGGACCAGCCAGGCCGAGGCCTGGGAGAGGGACAAGCTGCCCACCCCATGGTCCCTGCGGTCCCGGGTGCCAGCAGCTGGGGCTATAGCCCAGGAGGGGGACAAGTCGCCAACCCCATGGTCCCAGGCGCCAGTGGCTGAGCTTGTGCCTGCGCCTGGCAGCCTGGGAGAGGGACAATCCGCACGCCCCATAGTCCCGGGTGCCAGCGTCTGTATCTGCACCTGTGGCCCAGGAGAGGAACAAGCTGCCGCCCTGCGGTCCTGGGCATCTGCAGCTATGGCCAGCCTGGGCGAAACTGGCCCAGGTCCTGGGTGCCTGTGGCTGGCCAGAGGGAGGGAAGCCTGGGTCCCGGGTGCCTGTACCAGCCAGAGGAGGGACTCCTGGGTCCCGGGTGCGGGGCGAGGCAGAGGCGGTTAGGGGTAATCAGGCCATCAGGGGAGCAGTTAGGGGCGATCAGGCAGGGGAGCGGTTAGGAGCCAGTTGTCCTGGATCATGAGAGGCAGCCAGACATCCCCCGAGGGGTCCTGGATTGGAGAGGGTGTAGGCTGGGCTGAGGGACCCCCACCCCCCTTCGTGCACGAATTTCATGCACTGGGCCTCTAGTGTTACATAAGAACAACAAAGCTATCTTGTACATTCTTAAAGATCTGCTGGCCCTTTAAATTATTTTGCAATCCAGTCAAATTTTTAACAATTGCTCTGCTTCCATCAGAGATAGCAACTCAAATACTCAAATTTTGCATCTGTGTTCCCAACAGTGCCTACACTGCTTTCCTTCATGATTTCTACAAGGGTTCTACTGTATACTTCTAATGGAGCTCTATAAAGCTTGTTAATTTTGACCTTTACATTTCGCCAATAAAACATGCTAAATTGAGCCTCTTATGTCTGTTAATCCCGGTATTTAAGTTTTGGAAGCAAATAAGAATTGCTTGAGTTACTAAATTCTTAAATTAATTCACAAAAATGAAAGCAAGACACTTAGCTTATTAAAGAAGAAAAAGAGTTAATGTCAAGATTTTTCATAAAACACAACTAAGTATCTTCACATTGTGGAGTTGTCATTCTCCCATAGTTCCTAACATTTCTAGGAGTGTAGAAGCAAGAAAGTAAATAATATATTTGTGAGCTTGAAATTTACATCTGCTGGTATAAACAGAAAAAGTCTATTAGAAAATACACAAAACAAGAATTACAACCAACTTTTAATATAAAATTAAATTAGAGGACAGCCTGCAAGGTAGGCTGCTAGCATTAGATCTCTGTTGCCATTTCTAGAATACTGTTAAAAATTAGGCCTTTCTCTCCTTTGTGCTGAAATGACCCCTTTTCAGGTTGGCACCCAGTCTACTTAATTAACAAATGTTTTAAAATCAGTGGTTTAGCTGTTAAAAATATTTTAAAGTATAACTATTCTAACAATGATATGGAATTAGTAACAAAGTTATTTCCTTTTGAGTTAGGGTTTTTGTGTGCTTTTTAAAACAACACTAATATTTTAAATTATGTAGACAGGAATTATTTTCATGTGCAAATGATGCTGTGAACATTAGCAGAAACAAATCTTCCTGAAAATACACATACACATCCAAATTTTTTTTCTTGTACAAGTAACTTTTCACATGAGTATGACCTAATTACATTGGCCACAGCAGTAGACAAAACAGGAAAAAAATTAAACTGTCAGCCTTGAAAACTGTGAGAATGTCACTGATTTATTTCAGGATTTCTCTAAGTGTTACAAAGTGATAGGGTAAAAGTTAGATCAGAAAACAAAAACCAAGCTTTAAAGTCCATCTCTAAGGACCCATTTGTTAAAACAGCACATTCTCTTGTGTTTGTTTTAATATCTAGCCTTTTGTGCTTTGGGAAAGGAACTGACTGCTGAAATAACTTGCATGTGAAAACTGCCTTTTTTTTTTTTTTTTGGTTAAAAGCCTATTCACACATACAGCCAATTCTTGGAATCTTGTAGATGTTCCCCAGGAAACATAAATACCATTAATAGGAAAAGAAAAGAGTGTTTAAGTGCAAGTTGTATGACATTTGCCTGTGCTCAGCCCTGGCTGGGCAAATGTAGAAAAGGAACGAACCTTCATTATCCAAAGTACCCAGCTGTGGAAGTTTCTGACCCCAGAGTAAAAACAAGTCCCTATTCCAAATACTGCATGCTAAATCGCAGGCTCTCCTTTCTATGATTGCCTGCAAAAAGTTTTTTAAGACAGAATCTAGAATCTCAATTAGGCAATAGAATGTGCTGACCACCCACTATGCACACTGCCAGGCAATGAGATGCAAGGATAAAATGTTTGGCTCCTCGCAAGTTGCTCACAAAGACAACAATATCCCACAAAATAATAGGTTAACTGTTTTAGAAGCAGTACACATATAATCCATCTGTTCTGCCTATTCTTTACCTAGTGAAGAGAAGGGAATTCTTTCCACGCATTGCTCTTAAAAAATATATATTTTTATTGATTTCAGAGAGGAAGGGAGAGAGAACTATAGAAATATCAATGAAGAGAGAGAATCATTGATTGGCTGTCTCCTGAAAGCCCCCTACTGGGGATCGAGCTAAAAACCCAGCATTTGCCCTGACCGGGAATTGAACTGTGACCTCCTGGTTCATAGGTTGATGCTCAACCACTGAGGCACACCAACTGGACAATGTATTGCTGTTTTGATTATTTAGTTAGATTTCTACTTCAATGATGAAAAATGCTTTCAAAAGTCTTTAGTTTGGTGTATCTGGATTGAACATACCCACTATGCCAATTTTATATTTCTTTTGATTCAGGAATTTAAACCTATTGACAAATATTTAGCAAGACACAATGAAACTATATTGAACTAGAGGAGTTAAATATTTTTAACATCATCAAGGAGCAAAACAAGTACAGAAGGTTTTGGCTGACTGTCTCAATAATTTCTTTCAGTTCCATATGAGGTGAGAGACTCACCATTGCCATTTTGAAACTGGGCACAAATTAAGCAGAAACAGGTTGAATCATCTACGAGCGTTTATTCCAATAATGCTGGCAGTATACAGAGAGCAGCAGGCCACTCTGTAATTCTGCTCTAACCTCCCCTACTAACCAGCTGATTATATATGGATAAGGAAGAAAGGATACATGCAAGGGGGAAGTGGGGCAGGAGAAGGGCTGCAGGATCTGTGGTCTGTGTGTCTCCTTCCAGGATCTTGAAGTCCAATAACAAGTAGTTAATATTCAATAGTGTTGAAACCCAGCTCTGCCATTTCCTGAGACCTGAGAATGGTCAGCATTCCTGAGACAAACTCCCGGAGGGGGTCAGGGTCCAGGCCCAGCAACCAATCAGAGCATGACCTGTCCTTGCTTTGTTCTCAAAAGATATTTTCTTTCGGAGTAATGGACCCATCCAGGCTTAGAGGCATCTATTTTCTTTTTATAGCCTTGTTTTTCTCTTTGCAACACATCCTCCACTTTCCCAGTAAGAAAATCTCTTATCTATAGTTACTAAAGGGAACAATCATTAAACAACTGTGGTCCTATTGGTCCTATTGTTGTTGTTTCCTTTATCGACCGTACAAATTTAACCAAGGAGTGGCGGCAGGTGAAGAGTGGATAAAACAGGGAGTTGACTGAGCTGCCTGTCTCAGAAGGAAGTGGAGTCTCAGGGCTTCCCATTTGTCAAATGGCAATGGTGATTTGGAGAACTCTTCTAAAACCTGAGAGAGTCCCCTCTGAGGACTAAGATACAGCCTGCAACTCAGAGCAGTTAAGCGTTGTAGGAGTTGTAAAAAGATCTCAGAAAAGGGTAAAACCCAGGTATTTAAACCATAACTGCATGCAGGCTGTCTTAGTCAGCAATCTCCTTTGTCCCTGCCTCTCTATCCCATAATTCCTTCATGTTGCAGAAGAGTGTTAAAATAGCAAATGCATTAAATGAACTCATTTAATAGCTGCCTGGCCCATTCCTTTAATTTTATTTGTCTCTAAATAAAGTGAAACATTAGTCCATGATTTATTTTTCCTGAATTCTGAATGCTTCCTGCACTCACAGCCAATTGGAGCTAGTGTGACAGCCTCCACACTGCGTTCTCCACCAATGAGAATTAACACACCCATACAGCAAGAGCTGCCAGCAACCCTGAGTAAATGTGTTGAGCAACCTGACATATTGACTCCAAATGGCCTCTGTCTCTAGTATTTATTTTAGATCCTGGCAAAGAGTTTTGAACATGATATATGATAAAAATATACAGATGATAGTGCCTCGCCTGCCAATTAAACACAAAT